TCTCTCTCTCTCTCTCTCTCTCTCTCTCTCTCTCTCTCTCTCTCTCTCTCTCTCTCTCTCTATGCTCAATTAATACAAGTAATCCATCCCCCTTTAATCGTCCTAGCAAAACCACTTCGAATAACACTAATGGCTAAGAGTAATTGTTTCAAAATTCGCTATGCCAACTCGGAACCAACGAGGTATCGTCTAGATCTCAGACCGCACGTTTTTGCCCCTTTTTCCCACCAGTTCTAGGCAATTTTTATTTTTTATTTTTTACAAAAACCATGAAAACCGGTGAAGCAAGCTCGAGCTAGCTCGAAACCGGTGGGTGACTAGCTCAGCCCAAGCCAAAGTTTCCTGTTGAATTTGGTCAGCAAATATTGCAAGTACCTGCTCAAGCCAATTGACCGATTAAAGCTTCAAAGCAGCTCGTTCTGCTTAAATCTGGTCAACTTGGTTTATTTATCGTGTTTTTCGATTCACTATATTGTGTTGACAATGTGGAATGAGCACAAGAAACATTTTGAACCAAAACTTACTCTAACTAAATATGAATGTATGCTTTCTTTCCATTTTGTAACGATTAAATCGGTACAACATTTTATAATATAAAGAGGAAAAAGAAAGGGCGCGATGTAAACATGTCAGGTCTGGGTTGAGGGTGGACCCAGACCTGGGTGGGTCTGGGTCAAGAGGACATAAACCTGACATGCCAGGTCCAGGTCAAGCAAACTTGAACTAACCTCCTGGATCAACCTGGCAGATCGAAAGCGGGTTGGGTCAACTTGAATGGATATCATCCCCGGCCGAAATGCAAGATTTTAGAGTAATTTTTTAAATTAATATCTGCATCCAAATTTCCCTGAGGTTAGAAATGTCAGGAGCCTCCAAACTCTCATGTACATAGGGTATGTATAATTTGCATGTTGTGTGTTTTCTTGTTGCTTCAATAAATTTGTCAAGCATTTGAAATTGCCTGGATGAAGAGAATTAATTTAATTTCCATCATTTCCAAAATACAAAATTGGGTTAGAATCCAAAAATTATGTAAGACCATATCCATACCCATAAGCACAAAAAGCGTTCATCACCTTCTAGCTTGCCGAGAACATTTTCACTTGAGCCTCCTTACTCCATATATGTGTTGTGAGATTTCATGAACGGGAAGACAGTGCCTTTGATATCTTGCTTACCAGATAACGACCTGCATTGACACCTCCGGCAGCAAAGAATCCAGAAACTGCCTGCCGCGTGCTCGAAACGGCAACCAATCGCCTCAATGCTTTCTCCATGCACTTTGCAGCTGCTTCTTTGGATGGGACAACAACTTGGCGTCTGAGTCTCCCTATACATAACTGAATTATAACATAGGCAGGGTCATTGTGACATGGCTTCATAATAAAAAAAGGGAACGAAAACAAACCAGATTCACTCATATATTGCTTCTCTCCTAACTCAGCACACATTCGGCTCTGCACTGTAGCAGGAAGGAAAGAAACAAGGGAACAAGCTGCGGATAAGCTGCAGTCCTGGAGACATCCATGTGAACTACATACTTTAATACAATAAATATAATAATTTTTTGAGTAAGTAAATAAATATAATACTGTTATAGAACTTTTTTGTGGTTCAAGAAGCAGTGGCCCCAAAGAAAAAGTCATGCCTCAACCACACACACACACACACAAAACTCACAATTCTCAATGGGCTTATAGCAACTATATAAACCGAGCTCCAAAACAAATACCTAGAGAGATTTTTTTTTGGGCATAACTTTGCACATCTTTCAACTGAAAACTAAACAATTTCAAGGAAATTTGATTTTGAGTTCTTGAAAACTAAACACATGGGTTTGGACTGTACCTGAACTATTTTTGAATCTGGATCTCCAGTCGGAGAAAATTTCAGCAATCCTTTGGTATCAAACTCACATAGAAATGGTGTATACAGTTGCCGAAACTTGTCAAGACTTCCAGAAACAATACTTTTTGCCTGTGGAAATCATTATAAGTTCCAACAATAATCATAAATAAAGTATTTTAGGTATCAGAGAGGAGTAATCAGTCAAAAATATGTATGTCAACTATAAGCAACTCCAGCTTGATGTGGAAATGACATCCACAATAAATGAGAATTTTCAGCTGCTTGTTATTAAAAACTTGATGGTAATCAGGGTTCACAATGATGATTAATTTTTAAGCTATCAAGATTTTGACACCCATCAAAAACACATTAAAAAGCTGAAGCTAATAACATCAGGGAATAGGGAACAGATGCCTAAATAAAACAGCTTAGTCCTCTCCATGCAATACATCATCAGAGATTTCCACTTATATCAAGAAATAGTAAGAGATTGAAAATCACCCATACTTGTTATGGGAACATATGAACCATCAAACGTCACTGCATTACTTTCACATTTACTTAATATGACGATCTTGGTAGCCCGTACCAATTAATTGTCCGACCAAGACAGATGAAAAATGTCAGTTTATTGTGGGTATCTCTTTATCTTTATGACAGATGAGCAAGCAAATTTTGGATTAATGTTAGCTTCAGGAATACCCCTAGAGGCAAAATAAAACATGCGAAAGATGCAAACAAAAAGGCTAAATGCAGGATAGGTACACAAGAGAAAATTCTTACTGTTAATTCCAATATTGAGGACTGGCTCCAGAAGGAACACAAAAAAGAACATAAAAGAAACGGTAGTGTTTCCATTGGTGGCTCTCAAGGGTGCCAGTCCAACCATCTCTTGAGATCCAAAGTCTCCAAGTTTTCCAGTAGACGTGAGATGGAATTGGATCACCCATGTGTCACTCACACGGTTATACAACTTTGTTTATTCTCTAATATGGTAGAAGTTTGTTTATTTTTTAAGCCAATTATGTTTCAGTATTACTATGTCAACAGTTTTTTGTTTTTATATTGGACTTGATGTTGTTTATTGCTCTGAGTGATATTCTTCGAAACCATCTAGTCAATCAAATGGAACTTCTTGATTGTCTTTCAAAGTTGAGATACTTCCTTCCCCCAGCAAAAAACAACATTCAAAAGACAAACTTTCAAGTGGATTAATCAAAGGCGAGTAGTTTCTGTTAGGGGGAGCAAAACAATTCCTGCTAACCGAGAATCTGTAAGTTCTTTACTCTGAAGTCTGAACTGAGCATTGGATGCATTGACAGAGAGCAGCAACACAAAGGTATTGTTAGCAGGTGGCAAGAACTAAGTCTAAGAAGGCCCATGTTCTCAACATCGCAAGAAAGGTTGTCCCTTGTGAACATTGACATGACATCCAAGAACCAGGAAGGCATGACAACAGACAGGTACATTGGCTTGCCAAACTTTGGATACTTGCATTGTTATATCCACTTTACAAGCTTAAAACTTCCATGCCAATTTCTGGCAACGATTCTACTCAAGCCCACACCTCATCTACACACGCTAAGCTCTACTTAACAGTCAATTGGCCAGGGGCTGTACATCCTCTCCGCTCCTCCTAGTTTCATATTCATACCTTTCATTCTTCATTTATCATTTTCTTCTCCATTCTTGGTCACATAAAATATAACCAATACAACACATCCAGTTGTTGGTATGGTTGGCATCTGCAAATATACCTGCTTTGTTCTCAATAAGCAAAGACAGTTATTCTGAAAACATGAATAAAAAATTCAAGGGAATATCACTCGAGCATTTTGTTCATAGGATTGGTGCAAAAACATGACAAGGTTATGATAACAGTATGAAAATATTTGAACTTAAAGCATACTGCTTTTTTTCTGTGTATGTTTGTAGTTTCCATACATCAATCGAACTTTAGACATGTTTTGAGCTCTCCTGAAAAAAGAAAGGGATAAAAGAGATAAAGAAACAATTTTTGCGGTTGGATGCCTCAACATAACATCCCACCCTCCATTCCCATCATTAGCATATCAAAAAAAAAAGGAGATAAAGAAACAGGCAGTAGTAAGCCACATAGTTCCCATCAAATCCTAAATGAAGCATTCTTCAAACCTTGTTTTTGTCCTCTGCAAATAGCATTCTCAGGTCGCCCATGTATGAGAGAGAACAGATCTTGGCATACAGATCTTCCTGCATCCAACCACATTTAAGTTGTCTTGGTGGTACTGGTCAATCGTTAGTCAATGAAAACAAAAATTAAAAAGCATACCTCATTGAATTCAGATGGCAACAGAAGCAGTGCAGCTGAAGCAGCGGCCTTTAAATTCACCAAGTTGACATTCCCAACATCCAAACTATCCACTAGAATATGAACCTGTGAAGGGAGTAGCAGAATTGATCATGTTGAACTCCTTCAAGATTTATTAAGTTGAAAGGCGAAGAGTATTCGAACATAAATAAGCTAACAGGTTCAAAAGATTGCATTAGGAATAAGTTCCAATACAAAGGAAACAGTGGTGCAGTTTAAAAAAAAGAGAGGTCCTAGGGCTATTAAGCTTCAGAAAATGAGTAGACATCAAAACAACTCGTCCATTAAGGTGACATGCCAGTCAAATCATGCGCTTGTGTTTGAATATTATGGTGGAAAGTTAGCCATGCTCAAACTAATGTAGATCACTGATTCCTCAATATGAGAATGCCAATGACAGGTTACATTTCTAGGACAATTCTGGGCATTTTAAAGGTGTTTTTTTGGGGTAAATAAAGGGGTAAGTTAGTGGGGATTTGGGCCCCTACCCTTTGGCGAGATTTTAAAGGTGTTCGTTTAGCTGCAATCATCAATACATAAAATAACTTTGAATGCTCAGTATCATTCTCTTTTGCCATGAAGTACATCACTGATCAGATGATTTTGCTAAGGGAATACATAAACCGACAGCTTTTCTTCGTGAATGTGGGAGAATGATAGCACTTCAGGGGGGGCTAACATGATGTAGAAAAAGAATATATTATCAGTAGCCACATGAGCACCACAATGACCTCAAGTGAGGATTATAAATAGCATTAGCTAAACGCATATATAGGGACCATACTTGAACTCATAAAAGAGCCGCATAAGGCAGGCTTATACTCCAGAGGCTGGAGTAATTTCTTCTGTAAAGACAGATGAACTGTGATACACATAAAGCCATGGACACGGCTACAATATCAGCTTTTTAGCATATTACATGTGTTTCTGAGTATGTGACACAGGTATAATACCCATTTTGATGCGGCCCCACATCATAGCCATTATTCCCTGAACAGCTTTCTACTGCTTCTCAACTTCTTTTTCTGCCTCTTTTGATGAATTTTACTGCTCAAAATTTCTCCATGTTTATGTTTTCTTTTTCTTTTAAAACGAAACGTTTTATTTCTGAATATTGGTGTATGTCAATTATATTTATATGTGTATTGTAATTTCTTTGCCTAATCAGCTATAGATGAAAAAGTTTGGGCTGTTACTGAGATTTTTCCGTTTTCCTTTCTCTTCCCCTTAAGGTGATACCACTAGAGCTTTCTCTTACCTACCAAGGATTTCTTAGGGAATAGTATAATATAATGTTTTGGCTCATAAAAATACTTGTAGCAGTGATTTGGCATAATCAGTAATACTATAAAATAAGATAGAAGAAGGATTTAGATTTCCAAAGTGTTCATGTCACCTTTGATATATTCTGATTTTTGTCTGATTGACTTCTATACAAGAATGTCATGAATGACAATTTCCAAGTCGGAAATCTAACCAGACAGAAGAAGGCAATGAATTCATATCATGCACTAGCCATCTTTAGCGCAACTGTTCCTGAGAGCACAATCATCGCAAGAAAGGTACAGCAATTAAAAGTGCAAGTGTATCGCTCGTAAAAGTGCATATGGAAGATTTAGTAGAAATCGCACCAGAAGCAATACAGATTATTCAAGACTATAAGGATGAGTCTGGACATACCTACTAATCATGACTAAAAGTATTATCATAATATACTAGCCATGGAACACTTTGGCTGGGCGCCAGTTTTGCAACATTTCTAAACGCTTTTTATTTGAAGAGTGCCAGAGAATGCTCCAAAATGCCACCAAAAAAGGGCATTGCCTTAGTTCTTTATTTGAAGTAACCAAGAAGTTAGTTACACAGTCCATCCAAACTCACCCTCAGGCTAGAATTATATAATGAGGACCATTGCACTTAACTGCTTGATGACAGTACTTTTAAAAACACATGCAACCATCCGCTTAAATAATACAAGGAAAGCATAAATTGGTTACACTATTTTCATCAATGCATCTTTTACACCCATTAGGTAATGAGCTACTTTCTGCCCCAAAAACTGTTCCCAGTCATTTTTTACTTGAGGTTGTCAAAGGGAAAGGAGCATTCTAGTAAGGCCCTTATCATTACCTTCTTGTATGTTATTTGAATAGCATGCATGCTAAAAGGAATCCAATATTCCATCTTGTCTGAATACTGTTTTGAAAGAAAAAAACAAATTTAATGGGGTCAAACTAGTTTAATGTACAATCATATAGCACGCATTAAATCTACAGCGATCTACCATGGCTCAAACAACGTAAAATCCCTCATAAGTCGTCAATCCATAGTCAGAGATAATGGATACCAGAATTGTTTGAAAACTACGCGAGGTCTCTTTCAAATAGTGCTTTTGAAACTCAAAAAGGGTACAAAGAGGGAATGCTCTTAGGATGTAGGGGGCACAGGCTCTAAATTTAGCAGCATTATAGGCTTGAATTATTTGGGAGCTAAGGGAGCAGAACTCCAGATGGCATCAAACATGCATTAATGACAATAATAACACAAATTTTCTGCCAGCACCTGATCGCTGAAAGCAAGAGGACATGCAACATAATTACTTTCTCCAAATAGTTGGAATAAGGAAATGGTCCGTGAAATGTAATTCTAGTTTAACAGTATTGTGGTCATTCTGACTATCTCTGTAACAGGCAAGAATGACTTTGAAGGTTGGGTAAATTAGGTAGGCCCTCCTAACTTAAAGTTCCCAAGGTTAGTCCCTAATGCTCGCTTCCACTATGTTGCTTATGTTGCTCTGAGGATCTCTTCTAGGACCTTCAAACTTTGCTTAATGGCATCATCATCATCTTGCTCTTCAACTCGTACACCTCCAACTTGTGCCTCTTCAGGCTCACATTCCTCTCATCCCCTTTAAATGGACACAACACTTATTGCAGTGCTCTCTCATTAAGAAGTTGCACCCTCCACTTCGACCAATCACTCATCATCTGGAAACTCTACAAATATACGATCCGACTTGACAAGTTTTTACTTTGTTTTTTTTTTTTTGTTTTTTTTTTTTTTTTTTTTATGGCGGTGGGGGTGGGGAGGGGGTAGTTCAGCAGTAGGAATAGAACTTAAGATGTAGCCTTACTAAACGTCGACTGCTAACCACTCAAGCCCAAGTCCGATTCCTCAACTGATAAGTTAGCAGTCCTCAAGTTTCCTCAATTGCCGCATTCGGAGGCTTAAGTTATAATGGACATATACCAATTTATCGAGTATAGCTACAGCCAACCTATTTCTCCTCGGCCTGCGATTCCATTGGAATGTATTCACATCCAGTTGAGGGACAGATTTGGCTGAGAACCTTGATCAAAATATCTTGGAGATTGCAAGCTCCATTGCCATGTAATACCCACCAATTTGCAAAAAACAGAGAAGAATTCATAAGAAAGGAGTCAAATGACAATAAAAGAATGTGCAACATAATAATGTAAGTCCATAGGAACTTAAGAGCTAACTAGGATCTAGTTGACTGCAAAATTTCTATCCAGGTTTGTCACAAATTTCCTGGTTCACGCATAAAAGAAAATGCTAAGAAAAAAAAATTGAGATTTTAGTGGTTAACAAATGTGTCCTATGTAACTCATAAGTGCCTTAAAAAGTTAATGAAACTTCTTCACAAAGAAGTCTTTCTTACCACCTTCAGAGCTTCAGTCCATTCTTTATTGAAATGTAAGCTTCAGTCCATTCTTTCCATCTCTTTCAACTCTTTAAGAATATATTTCACCCACCCATGATCTAGGGTTGAGTTGATTGTCCCCTGCACTGCTTTAAAATCAGGACTAGCCCTGAAGCTCGGCAAGTGATGAAGCGTGTCAGCTCGGTGAGGCCCAAGTGGACTCACCATCTCCTACCCAAGTCATGGAAAAAGGGACACAAAATTCCCAAAAAAAAAAAAAGGAAAAATAGGAGAAAAATAAAAAAAATAAAAAAAATAAAAAGGTAAAATCATAAATTATGTAAAACTATATACAAATGAAAAATGACAAAAAGTTAATTTTTCATGTGCACATAGGTTGCTTTGATATGTTTGAAAAACACTATCTATCATCTAATGTAAAATTCAATTATTCTGCAAATCTATTGCAAATTCAAATGACTCCCATCAATTTCCAAGTTGCCACCTGATGGTAATAAGAAAACAGGAGTATGTAAGATATAAAACATATGGAAAGATTACATGCACTTGCAGTACCAAAATGTAAATTTGCTCTCTTGGGAAAAGCCCTAGTAGGTAGTATCTTTAAGATTAAATTTGGTGATGTGACCTACTCAACCTATCAACCAACCTAAAACAACAAAAAACTGAATATGCTATTTAGAAATGCCTAAAAGAAAAAAACGGTTTAGGATTGACTGTAGACCCGTCCAGAATCCTGGACAGTTAAATCCAGGTGCATAGAAGTGGATCCCAAATTTTCAGATCAATGAAATCCTCCTAAGTGGGTCTTTTGTGCCCAAGGGAGCAAAATACAACTTGCTCCTGGACGAGCACATTATATGCGCTAACACAACATTACAATCCATGTCTGCATTGTTCTTTTACAACTAATGAAATCATGTTAACTATTAAAGAAGGAAAAGAAGAAGTATATATTATTGGTTTCTGCACACTAAGGATAGGAAAACATATTTCTTGAGTTCTTGCAATATTGTGGTAAATAGGCATAGCACATAGTGTGAAGCGTAATTATGTTACAGACTAGTTTCAGTCAGTCCAATTCGAGACACTTGAAGCATGTAATGACTGCTTATGCCAGTGCACTTGTAATGACTGCTTATGCCAGTGCACTTACTCAAGGAGTGCACAAGAGCATATTTGTACTTATCATAAAAGTAAAAAAACCTCCAAAATAAAAAGTAGAAAAGCACCCAAAAAAAATGCACTTACAGGTTTCTGTAAGCGACCACTTATGTAAAACCTGTTCCATGTCAATACATCTTGTAACAAATCATGCATTCGAATAACCCCATATTTGATCACCTGCATATGTTCAAAAAAGAATTTATCAACGAAACATAAAGGAAAAATTTGAAAACAATTTGTATTTCCAAGTTATGCTAAACTAAATAACAGGAAAACTAATATGGTAAAGAGAAAGGATATGTCACGTCAGAATAGTATGCAAAGGCATAGGGTACTTACCTTATCCTCAAACCGCACGTATGGATTAAAGTGTACCCCTACTCCTATCTCATCCGCAACTTGCGTAATCTAACACAACCCAATAAACTCTTTAAACACGAATGCTTCTACAAACCAGACAGCTAGATATCCCAATTAAGTGCAAATTCGGACTCTTTCCAACAGAAGACCATTAAAACAATTCACTGATTCATAAGTGAGACAAAAAATAAATATAAGAGAGAATAGAGAACAATGTATGCATACCGTTCTTGAACCAAGGTATGCTAAAAATGATCCATAATGATGTCTGTTCTTCTCAAGATTCTGTATTTCAATTTTTCCCAAAAAAGGGTAAAATAAAAATGATGAGAAATGATGCAAGATTTTAGGAGGCAATGGATACTTAGGACTTGAAGAATAAAGCACGCAGAGCCACAATGTGAGTGAGAGGGATATTCACCTGAGAATGCCACTGCATGGGATCTGATACACCTAAAATGTAATCAACCATTGGTTTCTGCAGAGGAAAGAAAGAGATATCCCATTTGTATGGAGAGGCAGAGCGGCATGGGAAGAAATAGAGGGATAAAAAAGAGAAAAACTAGGGGTTTGGAGAAGAAGATGACCTGGAGAAAGAGAGAAAGAGAGAGAGCGAGAAAGAGAGAAATGAAAATGAAAATGAAAAGACTAGAATAAACACCTTGTTAGAGTTATTTGGGAGGAGAGAAGATCCGTAGGCACAGCAGAAGTCAACGTGGGGGAGATCATTGAGAGGAGCTGCCAACTCTTCCGCTCTACTATTACTACTTTCCATATGGATGATGCCTTCCCTTCTCTTTCTGCTGACCCTTTTTAACTTGAATTTCTTTTTTCTTTTCTTTTTTTCCAAACCCAGCAGAGGTTATAGAAGGCCTGGTGATTGGGTCAGGTTTGTATAGGTTAAAATCATTATTGAGCCTTTAACAAGAGAACCAAGTAGCAGTACTCAGAGCAACTTAATTATGTGATACATTTTCTGAAAACAATGATAATATAAATGCTGAAAGCACCACAACAATAACATATAAGGAATATTGAAAACACCATGAAAATGATCATATAAATATTACGAACTACTGAAAACACCACAGGGATATCATGTAAAGAAATACTGAAAACACTACAACCATGATCATATAGTTAATATACCATGCTAATGCTTAAGCATAGCATGTTAATGCTCGATAGACTATGCCAACACTTAAGCATAAACTTTGATGGAAGTTCCTTGAAGAAACCTGGTCCTACAATTTTGGGTAGCACCTAAGAGGAGGTTTGTTGTTGTAATCCAGGTACTAAGAATGGGGACCATGAAGCTCGAACACTTGGGAGAGAATGCGAAGTTGGCAGTAGAGCCAAAAATAGATTCAAGCCTATCTCTCATTGGAAGATGTTTATTTTTGTAATTCTGCGGGTTTAAACCCAACTAATCCATCAAAGAGAAAAAAAAAAAACCACATCCACAACTTCAATAAAATGAACATAATACAAAAAAAAATCTAAAAATTGATAACCTAACAGAAAAGAAGAAGACTGATATAATCCAACAAAAACCATCCAAAAACTTGGAACCACTAGAAATGCTGAAATGAAAATACGTAACATGATCAAACCCATCAACCAGAACCCAAATCCCAAATTTCCCATCTCTCCCGAAATCATTAAGTGATCAAAACACAAGATCAACTTGCCAAGTAAAACTCATAAATGAAAAATAATAATCCAAGTAACATAATCCATGTCTCAGCCAACATAATTCACACTGCATATGAACCAAACCAAAAAAATGAACACATTTACCTGTTTAGCAGGGGAAACAGGTTACAGAAATGGCGCTACTGCAAGAATGTAATTGTTTTCAAAATGACAACAATAACGATGAACCGCTTTAGCCCAAGATGATAGCTATCTGCAATTTTTATTTTTATTTTGTATCTGTCTGCACAAAAATTACAGTGTTTATGACAAAAAAAACTCTCTTTGCATTTTTCTGAAATTGTTTGGAAAAACACGACATTTACAGTCTTGGGGGAAAACAAACACAGAATTACAGATTCTGACAAAAACTCATGCCAGACTCACAGTTTTGCGAAACAAAAATAGATATTTACAGAAATATCTATTTGCAGATTTATAAATAGAATTATTGCATATTGAATGAAAGTTAGAATGTGAAAACTGAAATAAAACTTACAGATTCACAAAAATGGAGGGTGAAAAATTATTGTCGAAGCAAGATGAACTGTCTATATTGATAAGCTTCGAGCAATCGACGATTCGCAGGTGAAGGAGAGAGAGAGTAGAGTAAAAGAAGAGAGAGAGAGAGAGAGAGAGAGAGAGAGAGAGAGGGAGGGGTTTTAGAGATGAAGGAGGGAGTTCGTCGGGTTGGGTTTAAGTTGAGAGGCTTTTTGCGTTGAGTAATGATCTCAAAGGCAATTGTAAAAGGCAACGACGCTAGTATAAAACCATGGCTCTCTTCATCTCAATAATTAATAAATAAATAAATTTAATTTAATTTAAATATTAAATATAATCCAATCATCTCAATAATCAATAAATAAATAAATTTAATTTTAATCTTAAATATGATCAAAATAAATCTCTTTTTCGTTGCATTATACTATGATACATCCCTTTGCATTAGATTATTACTCAGCAGTTTATACCTCAGCCACAAACTACTCCTCTTCAACAGTAGACTTGCCGATTGATTGTTCTATTTGTTTATTGAACCTAATAACTCTAAGTGCATAGTTTTCTGTCGTCTCTCAACATAATGTCTGTCATGATTCTACTGTTTGAAAAAGAGTTAGGAATATGTGTTTAAGAATAATAGGTGTAGTAAATATATGGGAAAGGTTTCTATATTTTCTCTACAACATAGAAGATTTATGTTTCCCCTACTATCTAGCCGTTCAATCTTGATCAAGAGAGTCACTCACCGTTTGATCTTAGATCTAACGTCTCAAAGTATTTTATTTTTAGGTTTTTTTTATACAAATTATATGAATATGAAATTTGGTACGTGCCATCTTCTCATTGAGGCGTATTAAAAATAATTTTTTGATAAAATATAATAACCAAAATACCCCTTGAAACTTTCAAAAGTATTTTGGTCATTTTATTTTATTGGAAATATTTTTTGCTACTATGAGTTTAATAGAGTATTGAACGTCCAAATTTTGGTATTAAAATATTTTATAGAAAAAAATTAAACATAAAATAGTGTAGAGACACAACATTGTTTTTGGGACAAACTTAACCTTCTATTCAGAATAGACAGTTGGATAAGGGGTAGTATATAAGTTTTATACTATAGGAAAACATGAAGCATGGAAAGCTTGCTCTAAATATATATGGGATTGTCCATTTATCTTTTGGAGAATATTTTAAAATTTGCAATGCATTATACAACTTATTTTAAGGAAGAAAGTAAATCTTATTCTTTAGAATAAATGTTAATGTAATATATTATCTAATAGATCATATATAGGAACATAAATTTACTGATATTATGCATAACAATCAAACAACTAACCTCATAAGAGTTGCAAATAGATATATCTATGGTCCCACAAATATATATTGTGATCTTGCTACCTCAAATAGGAATTTTTTTCGTACAATACTTGAATTTGTACAATGCATTATAGTAGTAAAATCTTATCCTTTAGAAGGAATTTTAATCTAATAGATCATATATACAATCTATAAAAATTGTATAAGGTTGTCTCCTTATACTGTAGAAGTTAGATGCACCTATAAAATTTACTTGGAGGTGTTGTTTTCAAAATCTATTTTTATCTTTAAAATTTAAAAAATGATACAGATTGAGTAGATGAATAACTTTTTATAAGATATATTATTTTTTGAACTTAAAATTTTTTTTTTTCTTCATGTCTATTCATCTCAAGGTCGAGATGATAAGTTAGAGGGTTCTCCTGCGTGGGAACATTCTCCACTGTAAAATTTTTGAGATGCACCTTTCTTCTACAGTATAAGGTCACAACCTTATACAAACTTCTTCCATTCGTGAGATACCGGTTCCCGAGCACGAGTGACGCTTTCTTTATAGAAGATATTAAGGAGAGTGTTTGGTTTGCATAAGGTTGCACTTTTAAACAATCACGTCTTTGAATTTTATTATAAGATGTAATTTTGGTGCTAAAAATTTATAAGAGGATTTACAAAATCTATTTTTATTTCTAAATATAAAATTTTAAACTCCAAAAATAGTTCAAATCAAGTAGATCTGTAACACAAAAAAAAACTTGAAAATAGACAGTCCAGATAATGTGTTGCAAGATGCACTATTTATGAAATTTGAAATCTTTTTATTTTTATTTTTTATATTCATATATTTTGATGTCGAGATGATCATTTAGAGGGTTTTCCAATATCAAAACGACTTTTTTTGATAGATTTTTGAGGTCCACCTTGGTTCTACATTAAGGAATCCTAGTTAAAAAGCTTTTAGAGCAGCCGAAGTAATTTGTTCTTGTTTCCTTATCCATTGCAAATCGTTTTTTTAAAAAAGTATAAAATTAGACTATTTATTTTTGGTACAAAATGATCAAAATTTTGACCATTAGATGTAAAATTGGATAGCTGCATTTATTTCATTGATTAAGCTCAAACTTTAAAAACATTATAAAAAAATAAATATTCAAAACTTAAATTTTTTTTTTCAAATTTTGTGACAAATTAAGCTATTAAATTTCACATTCGACGATTACAATAACCCCTATACTATTGGTCAAAAGTCTCATGATCATACCGCCTTTTCTAGTTTTTTTTAAGAAAAAGTATAGCGTTGGAGACGTAAAATAAAAAATAAAATAAAATGTAGCATGACACGTTCCCTAAGGCAACTAAAAATCAATATTAAGTGGTGGTCCCACCAAAAGCTCCAACACAACCGTCTAAAAAAAGGCCTCAAATAATACTATTTTTAAAAATTATTTTTATTTATGTTTACCGTAGCATACATTGTCAAACTCTTTTAATTTTTGAATCCAAAGATGGAGGAAACGCATAAAGAGATGAGTCAGCCGACTTATATAAACACTGTCTAATTTTGTTTAGGCCAAAGCAAATTAATACTTGGCCAAAGTTTTATTTTTTAGGTAACGAGCCTTTACCTGTTATGTTACTAATTAAGAATGATATTACATGTTATGTTACTAATTAAGAATGATATTACATTTATAGTCATTTAACAAGAATGATATTACATGTTATGTTACTAATTAAGAATGATATACATTTATGGTCATTTAACATCCCTTACAAGGGAAACTCTAGAGATGGCAAAAAAAATTATGGGTGTGGTTTGTATAATGTTGGTTGAAGCCCTAAACAATTAAAGTAAAACCCACCTTAAAATTGTATCGAAATATGATTTTTTAGTAGCAAAAATATTTGTGAGGACCTGAAAATTCACTTTCATATCTAATTATAAAATTTAAAGAAAAAGTTTATATAGAACCGAGGCTCTAAACAATTCAATTAGAGCCCACCTCAAAAATTCATTAGAAGATGTTGTTTTGATGGCCAAATATCTTCAAATTGATCATCTCGACATCAAGATGCATGGACATAAGAAAAAAATAGATTTCAAGTTTTGGAAATAGTGCATCTTGTAAAGCACTTTGGACTGTCAATTTTCAAGATTTTTAAAAGTTCATAGATTTATTGATCTACACTATTTTTGAAGCTTTAAACTATATAATTAAATATCAAAATATATTTTAGGGCTATCACAAGTATTTTCAATAGAAAAACCACATTTCTCTATACAATTTGAAGGTGCATTCTAATTTGATTGTTTAGAGCCTTGGCTCTATACAAACTGCACCCAAAATTTAAAGCTTCAAAAATAATATAGATATTTATAAACAGTTAAATTTAATAAAATTGATTACCTAGATAATGCATTACAATATACACTATTTCTCAATCTTAAAATAAATTTTTTTTTCATATTTTTACATCTCCAGTTCTTTGACATTGGAACAATTTCTTATAGTAAACGGCCTCAACCTTATATCAGAGAGAGAGAGCCTTTGTTGATCAGAAGCCGTTAAAAGTTCTTCTCCCCTCTCCTCTTTTCGCCACCTCTTCTATATTCTTCTTCTTAACCCTAGATATCTCTGCTCCGACCTTTACCTTTTTTTTCTTTCTTATGTTTTGGGACGATTTCCTTTTTTTAATTGTGGTTTTCTTATTAATTTGATCCTGTTTTTGTTTTTCCCACATTGCATTTCAGCAACCCAATGAGAAAAAGTTGAGGACTCTGAATTCTGAGGTTTTTCCTCCACAAAAATCAACTCTTGATCTCTCAAGTTCTTCACTTTTCCATTTATAATATAGTAAAGTGCTTGAATTCAGGATCTCTTGATCTTTATTTGTTTTTTCCTACTAGTTCCATCGCCTTCATTTGAGAGTAATTTCTCTGATTTTCCTTAATCCGGGGAAACGGATGAATGAGTTTCCTGTTTTGTGCAAATTGAGTCATCTTCAAAGGAATTATTGTTTAGCTTTCAGAAGATGTCTGGAAGCTAAATTTTGGACCTGATTTTATTCGAAGGGCTGTTGCCTCTTGCATCTCAATTGCATAACGGGAATTGAAGGAAATTTGGATTTGGGTTTGAAGATGACGAATTTGTATGGCGATTTTAACCAGAAGATTGATTATGTGTTTAAGATAGTTTTGATCGGGGATTCTGCGGTGGGAAAGTCTCAGCTATTGGCAAGATTTGCTAGAAATGAATTCAGTTTAGATTCGAAGGCTACCATTGGTGTTGAGTTTCAGACGAAAACAATAGTTATCGATCACAAGACAATAAAGGCGCAGATATGGGACACAGCTGGGCAAGAGAGGTATGGCGTCCATCGAAACCTTTGCGAGCTCTTGCCTGCGTGTTTAAAAATTACAATTTCATTAGAATTCATCTCTTATTTTAGTAGCTGAATTGGATTGATGGGCCTTTTTTTATTTCTATTTTGGATTTGGAAATTGTGTTGTAATACCTGCTGTAAAATTTTTACTTTATTTCTCAGGAATGATGCCTGAAAATTTGTGTTTCTTCATTATTCTTTATACAATGACACCTTTTTGTTGTTGTAGAAATTGAGGTGTTTCATGGGTTGATTTTTGTCTGTTATTACATGTTTGAGATGTATGATGAATATCCATTGTTCTTTAAGACAGAAATATTTCGTCATTTAAAAAATTCATTGCAACTAGGACTCTTTGTAGGCTAAGAGTTCTTTGCTTCCCAGGTCTTAGCCTTGGTCATTTTCGGGATCTGTTATTTACCAAAAACTGCATATATATGCATTTGGTTTTTTTACTGTAGCAGATGTACATACCTGTATAAATCTTTGTATAAGTATGCATATGTGTGTATATATTTATAATGGTAAAGAGCTGACACCCAATCGGGTCTAAATGATGTGATTGTCATGGTTATAATGGGCAACGACCACTGCTCATTCCATCAAATATCACCAAATAATGGGTGATATCTGAAAATAATGGTTGCTTTGCCAGTTATAATGGCCATCGTAAAGGTACTGCCTCTTGGCCTTTAACGGTTATAACGGTTTTCTGAATCTTGCCCCAAATGACTTTAATGTATGTCAAGAAGATCTTTAATGAAATCCAACTACTAACAGTTCGATCCATCAAGTTAATCTATGTACTTTGAAAAATTACTTCAATGATTCTTTATCACCTAAACCAGTGAAGACCAAATATGATGCTTCCCTTAAAGTCTATCTAGGACCAAAGATGATGCTTCCCTTAAAGTCTATCTGGTTGCTTGAGAGGTTACAATTTGACCATGTCAGATCTTTGGAGAAGGAACCCTCAAGGGTGTACAGAATCACTCCTTTCTTGTCCTTAATTTTCAATCATCCCTAATTGCCTGTCACTTTCCTTTCTTCTCAAACTTAGAAGTTGATCCATGTAATAGAAAGGCAATCCTTTGCTTTTTCTTTATATATCCACAACATGTTTATTTATCCAAAACTTTCCCTCTTTAAAGTGTATTCACTATGTGCAAATATGCTGTCTCCTTCCCCTTTCACACACTTTACACACACCAGATCTGCATAAATGTTTACAGTCCGATACCTGAGGAAATCTTTGAGACTTTGCAGTAAAGCCTTGGGAACCTCCACCTCTTGTCCTTGAATATCTTGAACTTGATAGAAGATTCGACGTATAATTTATTTGCACCATGAGCGCTACCCAATCTTCAGCGGGAACCAGGATAGTCACTAGAGGGAGTTAAGATGAGGAAAATGGGGAAATTGGTCCTGTTATAAATGGACTGCATTAGAGAAAGGTTTAGAAAGATTCTATTATGCATGTGCTTTTCTATTCTGTTATGCATTTGCTTTTCTGATATGATTCGACAAAAGGTTGACTTCAGAATTAACAGTTCATTAGTTTGTGTGATGCTGAGGAAATGGTTAACTTGTTCAGAAGATCTAAATTTTCCAGTTCAAGTGGTTCCTGTTGAGGTCAGAGAACATAATTTGTACAGACTTCAGGAGCATGCTTGTCACGTCAACATATTTGTAAATTGGTGCTCTTTGGGGTCTGAAGGCATCCATATAGTAGTTTGATAGGGCCTTTTAGTATCCTCATCTGTGTCATTATGTGAGTTTGCTTCTGTGTAAAGGTCTCATTGCACGTGCATGGGTGTATGTTTCTTGATGAAATTTAAGGCCTATATCGGTGTGGCAAGTTGGTGTTGCATCCAAATACTAATAACATTGTATGCTATGAGTCTTATATAGCATTACTGTATGCTCTTTAAATGTACACCATCATGTCTTGATTTTCTATTTGGTTGAACTAACAAAGAGCAAGAGATAACAATTGAAGAAAGAAACTAAACCAAGTACCGAATTCTGCACTCATTGCACAAAATAAGCACAGCAACAAGGTTATCCTCATAGAGATTATGCCTATCAAATCAAATGGAAATGGAAATTTTGTTACTTACAAAACTAGTTTGAAACCAGTTATGGAATTCACTTCACTGTAGTGATCTCTTCAATGAAAATAATTTATTGATTTTATGTTGAGGAGAATTACTGACACTACGCAGAAGAAGGTAAAGAACCTATCCTTACTGTCTCCTGGTACCTTCTTGCCCAAAAGCTTAGGCATGTACCCTAAAGACCTATCTGTGGGGATTCTTGTGGATGGGCCTAAATTGTGGTCAAGTATGGCCCCAAAGACTGAAAGCCAAAATCTGGAGTCTGGACCTATCATATGATTTGATATTTGATAATTGGGCCCAAGCTTTTCGCAACAGAATTTTTGAATTCCTGGAAATGAGGAGAAGTTCACCACTTTCTTGGTTTAGCATATATATTTGATTGTGATTCATTCATCAAGAACTTCAGTTATTGGCTAAAGAATATGGGTGTTTATGTAATTTGAGGTTATCATGTAATGCTTATGGCAATAATATAAAAATTTATGAAATTAATCATATTGGATATCATTTTTATGAAACCATGGGAACCTATTTTCATGAGGCACATGACGTGACAAAACCATAAAGTAATAACTAGCATTGATTCTAGTCTGATTAAAAATATCATAAAACAAAGGGAAGTTTATCCCTCTATGTTAGTTCTGGCCCTTTGACATGCTTCTTAACTTCATCCTTCTTCTTGGAAACTTGGGGCTCATCATATCAGTCGCAATCTTACCTCTTAATCTGCATATTATATTCCTTTGAACCAATTTGACTCATCATCCCTGTCTATTCAATTCTGTTGTAAATCAAGTATAGTCAATCCTCTGCTTCAAGGCCCAGATGCCACATAGATGGTTTTGTAGTCCATGATGAGGTGACCTATGGTTCTGTGGAATGTGGCATGGTCCAAATCAGTGTCTTAAAACCTGGCTGAGTTCAATTGGATCTGGCCAAGTAACTCGGCCTTGATGCCCTGATGAGGCACGTATTTTAGACAGACTCAGTTTTGTTAAAATCACTTAAAAAATAAACAGTTTTGTTTCTAAATCACTGATAAATGATGTATGACTATGTTTCTATATAACTTTTATGTTTCTTGTGATGTTTTTGTGATTTGTTTCTTATTATACACTCTGATTTTCTAGTTTCCCTTTTTTTTCTCATTTTTCTAAATTGTTTCAAGTTTGAAATCATTTTTTTTCACAATCCGTCTTCCTTTCCAACTTTTGTAGACTTTCAATGATGTTTATAACTTCTTTTGTGTTTTACTGATTTTTTAATTATTTTTAGCAATTTTTAAAAAAAATTTTGGCAATCCATGTAGGACTTGGGTGAGTCAACTCGGACTCGCCCAAGTTACTCACCTCGGGCAGGAGCCAAGTCGTGAGCATGAGCGCAGTTTTTTTAACACTAGTCCTATTCCACGAGGCCATTTCCTTGAAAGGCCAATTTGCCTTTGAGACCTGAAGCACAATTCTCAGGCCTGAGGAGCACTTGGTTTTGTTTATTAGAACATCTGTGTACATTATGAATCAATGGTCTTCTCATAATGTTATCGATTGAACTGACATGCACATGTGCTTGAACCATAGAATGTGACACGCACTTGTATAAAAGGTATCTGATGTTGTAGTTGATGACCCCAAATATTTGCTAAAACTTTGCATAAACTTGAATAGGAAATCATTTTTTAACTCTTGTTCATTTGGCTTCTTTGAGTTTATGCTACCTGTAATGGCTTTCCGAAGTAACGGAATGGTGAGGCATTTTTGCGATAAGCATCTGGTTGTGGATTTCCTGAAGGAGCTTTGAAGGTTATTCCGGATCAAATACTGATCTCTAATGTTCTTTGGACCCGATTATTCAAGGGTTATTTTTAGTTGATCTAATTAATTAATTCTTTTTAGTTTGGTTCTGTTTTGAATTGATTCATTTTGGTATTTAAATGATAATTGCCTGAAAGAGATGAAATTGTCATTTCAGTTGTGTAACCTTATGTCATTTTAGAAGGGAGATTTCTCGAAGATAACATTTAGGATTGTATTGTAGTCAATGCATTACTTGTCTATTTCATTATAAAATGAGGACAGTTGCCATTTGTAATTATAACCATGTACAACATCTTCTTGTCTATTCATTATAGCATTCTACAGTTTTGCCTGAATTTTTTGCATCTTCTTGAGTTTTATGAAGTCAAGAGTACATTTGAATAGAAGGATGACCTCTCACACCCAGTACAACACCTGTTAGGAGGTGTAAGTTAGTTAAAGTGGAAGGCTCAAAAAGAGCAATGGGTGGGCCCAAAAAGATATGGTTGGAAGTATGGGGACTTATGGCCTCACTGAGGGTATGGCTCTTGATAGAGCAGAATGACAGACTATGATTTGTGTAGCCGACCCCAAATAGTTTGGAAAAAGGTTTTGATGATGATAACCCCTCACATATCTTCAGAGACTATAAGGGCTACAAATATTTCATTTGACAAGATTTTGTGCATGTCCTTCGCATACATGAGACTACATTGGGTTTGTGATGGTTATTGAAATAGGGGATTTTGGTTGCTAAGAGATGACTTGTAATACATTTATTATGTAGCACAATGGCAGGTTGGCATGGGTTTGGTAGGTGGAGGGCTGGACATGCAAGAGCCTTTTGGCCTGTATGCCTACAATGGAGTTTATGTGGTGATATTCTTGGTCTTAGGAGCTACTCATATATCGGAAGGCAATGATTGGACAAATATGTCTCACACCTCCTTCTACAAATACAACAGGAGGTTACTTTCTACAAACTCCGAGAAAAATAATTATAAAAAGCCACCTTGTAGAGAAAATTTAGAGTACAATAAACTGAGCCTCTAGTAAGCCTTGTAGTCGCTCCAGAAAGATCAGTATCTTGTGATAGTCCTTGTTATCCTGCTTGTTTAAGCCTGTAACGTGGTTCTTTTTCCTCAAATGTTCTCATTGCTACTTGTGCTGGTCTAGCACATCCCAGGCTTGGATAAATAACTGACCCTTGTTGGCTCCTTCATAGCTTGTGGTGGATTGGAGGATTGATGACCTCAAGTCTTAAAATTCTCAGATGAATGATTTTGTATTAGATTTTTGTGCATTCTATGTTGTGTTATGAATTATGTTTAAAAGAACAATTAAGGAGGTGATGACGTGTGATCTGGTGAACACATGGTGTTTTTTTGTTGTCTTTTCTTTGCATTACCCATATGAAATGCGGGTGCTGCCTTTCCAAAGAGGGGTTGCCAACTAATATAGGTTTCTACATTCCACACAAACTTGACACAAACACACATATAACAATGAATCATGTTGTTTGATGACATCAAGATCAAACCCATTAGGAATCGGTTCCTCTTAATGGTCTCTCACTTTACAAGGTTAAATTTATCTTAGGCAAACTTTTACAGGTTCAATGACTGAATGAAAATTTGGTAGTGCCACTTGAATGCACTTGTTCTGATTGTGTATGGTTAGAAGTGATTGAAAACTTCACTGTGCAATAAATAAAGTTTCCCTAAAGTTGGTGGAGTGCAACCAAATTAAGATGTTCATGCACCTTGAGTTAGTGGAAAGTTGAATTAAGTCTTATCACACAGTTGACAGTTTTTACTGAACTGTGGAAATTTTGGGGTCATCATTTGGGATAGCTTCTATTTTCTATAGAGTTGCTTTTGCTATGACCTTTTTTGCACTCAAAAGTGTAAATTAGGAATTGTTCCATGTAACCATTCTGTGCTGTTTGATGTGGAATGTTGTACTATCATGATTTCCCTGTGAAATGATAAAAGTAGAATAGCAACTACATTTCAGATGCTTTGTTCAATTGACGCTTCTTTATTATAGTATCTTCAATTGGTTTTCCTTGATGGTTCTTTATTTTAAGTACCTTCAACTTATCTGAGATTCGACTAGATATTTGCATATGATCAATCAGGACTGTCATTTAAACATTACATACATCTGATTTATGGCACAGATGGATGGCTTTGCTTTTTACTTGCAACTGTTTATAGTAGGAGGCCGTTAAATATCCGTAGCATAACATAATTTTGAGGTCTTTTTATTACTGCCATACAATTGATGTTTTCCTTTTTCATTTCCCTTTTCTGAAAAGTCATTTTGAGATATTCATTCTATAAAGTATGATGGCATTAACTTTCTAGCTGGTGATGACAATGAATTTTTGACCCTTAACTATAAAATTAATGGTCAGATCACAAGGCTTTGATAGTGACCAAGTCACCCTCTGTCATTGTTCCACGGGTCATCACTGTCCATTGAAGATGGTGATGGATAGTGTGGGTCACACCGTTAGATTCAAAACTGTTTGGTGTGCCTCTCTTTGTTTCCATAGCTGTTCATGATTTAGTGGATGGTGATGACCCAGTGGATTATGGTTTCCAAAGTCTTTGGGATTAAAACATACTCTCCCACCATCATATTCAACCTTACTAGCCTTGATGATCAAGGAGCTGTTTGTGTAGCGCATTAAACGGGAATTCTCCCACCATCATATTCAACCTTACTAGCTTTGATGATCAAGGAGCTGTTTTTATAGCGCATTAAACAGGAATTCTGCAATTATGGTACCTGGTTGTGCAGGAACATTTTTGCTGTGTGTTTATGTTGTACCCTTTTTGAACTCTTCTTGTTTGAAAAGCTCTTGCAAAATAGGGCCTAAACAGAAGTAACGGAATGAAAAAAGTTGTTTGTCAGTCATAATATGAGTACTTACATGGCATTAATTAATTTTCATTCTCAAAATTTGTGAGATTATAAATGTTGATATTTTTTAATACAATCATGACTCTATTGTGCTCACATGCTTAAGTTGAAAAAAAAATAACACAGGTATAGAGCGGTGACTAGTGCATACTATCGAGGTGCAGTGGGTGCTATGCTAGTCTACGACATGACCAAGCGCCAATCCTTTGACCACGTGGCCCGATGGCTTGATGAGCTGCGAGGCCATGCTGACAAGAACATCGTGGTCATGCTGGTTGGCAACAAGTCGGACCTTGGGACCTTGAGAGCTGTCCCTACTGATGATGCCAAGGAGTTTGCCGAGAGAGAAAATCTCTTCTTCATGGAGACCTCAGCCCTTGAGGCCACAAATGTGGAGAGCGCATTTTTAACTGTGCTCACCGAGATATATAGGATTGTCAGCAAGAAGGCATTGGTGGCTAATGATGATCAAGGAGGCAATTCAGCATTGCTTAAAGGGACCAAGATTGTGCTGCCTGGTCCCGATGCTGAGCCCTCAAATAAGAAGCAAATTTGCTGCTATTCCTCCTAGGGAGGCTTGAGCTTCCTAGGATGCCTAGTGCCTACTTTGGGTGCTAGTCTCACTTTTGGTTTTTGTGAAATTTGCGGAGATATATATTGTTTGTTATTTTTTTCTTTTTTAACTAATCGAGAAATTTGATTTGTCTTTGAGGATTTGTTTCATATGCATTTTTAGCTTGCTGCAGTGCCTCTTGGGAAAATTATTTTGTTTCTATTATGGTAAAATATATTGTGGTCCTTATTATCATAAGGTACGGGGTCATGAGGTTCGTCACCATCCAATTGATGGGTTTGTAGCAAGAAACTCATGTGTGCAGATGTACATGTTTTACTCTTGGGGGTTCCACCCTCTCTCCATCACCATCTAAAGGTTGATTGGACTGTCATAACCGTCATGGTCTAATGTCACGTGTGGTCATGAGGCCTATAATACATGTGCCTATTTCTTCTTTAAATGGTGAAACGCAGGGTTTTGGGGCTTTAATCTTGAAATCTGGTTTGAACTCCACTTATGCGATTGAGATTGACACTGGTGTTCTGCTTTTCTATTTTTTGATAAATTTTTAATCTGATAGTTTGGTAGATATAATATAGTAAAATATTCTTTGCCCATGCACCATGTATTAATCTACAAAATGCTCCTTTATAGAATACATGCAAATAAGGGACTAAAACATATATTATTTGTAAAAAAAGAAAAAATCCTAAAATAGAAACTTACAAAGAATTTATTTGTTTCTAATTTGAAACTTGAAAGATGCAATCTCATGATAATTTCACCTCATAAATTAGAATAACAATGCATGAAAGCCATTCAATCAAAAGTCCTCAATTCTTGATTTGACAAAATTCCATCAAAAAATCCAATATATATTAGGGTTGAATGACATTATCCAATTATTACGAAAGCCTAAATTTTCTTCATTTTTTTAACAAATAAATAAATTTGGGCTCAATCCCTAAAACTAAATTTTCATTTTCTTTGAGATTTTGTGTCTTTGTGTGCTGCTTCTATCTTACACCCAATCCCCAAACCTAATCCTGCTGCAAAGAGATTTTTTTGCCACCAATTATGTGAATTGCTGGTTTTTGTAGTCGTGGGCTCCTCAAAATTAAGAGATTCTTCTGGGTTAGAAATTAAGGCTGAGCAGAAGCTTTGACAGATAAAGAGCTTAGGGTTTTAGTCTTCTTGATTTGGCAAATTATAGAGGAAAAGTTCGGATCCTCTTCTTTTTCTCTCTCTAAAAACAGAGCACCCAAGTTCTTTTTCTCTCAAAAAAAAAAGAGTGAAGCAAACCGTTGAGTTTGAGATCGGTGGATTTTTATTCAACCTAAAAGAGAGAGCTAGAGAGAATTCACAGAAAGAGGATAAGGGATGGATGCTATACCACGAGAAAGTCAGAGAGAATAAGAGTAGGTTTATCGAAAGCAAATTTTAGAGAGAGAATGGTAAGATCCAATTGACACGAGAGTAGGTTTATCAAAAGCAGATTTTAGAGAGAAAAAGATAAAGATTGCACTTGTGTCTTTACAACAGATTTATGGCAAGCATATTTTAAAATGAAAATATTGAAAGGAGGCAGTTTGCATACGGATGCATAGGTAAGGCACACCTTCGAAATTTATCATGGTATATAATTTGGGAAAAGTTTATATAGAGCCGAGGCTCTAAATAATAAAATTTGTGCCTAACAAAAAATTTTTACTAAAAGAGGTTGTTTTGATGCTCAAATATCCTCAAATGAATCATCTCGATATCAAGATACATGGACATCAGAAAAAATAGATTTCAAGTTTTGGAAATAATATATTTTGTAACGCATTTCTGGACTGTCAGTTTTAAAGATTTTCAAGTTTTCATAGATCTGCCGATCTATGCTATTTTTTAAGCTTTAAATTTTATAAATAACGAGAAAAATATATTTTAAAGCTATCACAAAGATTTCTAGTATTGAAACCACATTTCTAGACACTATTTAAAGGTAGGCTCTAATTTGAATGTTTAGAGCCTATGCTCTATACAAAACGCACCCATATAATTTTGATGTAAAATGTTCTTAGGATTTTCTCAAAATCTATTTTTATATATAATTATAAAATTGAAAATTTCAAAAATGGTTACAATCGAGTAGATCTATAACATATGAAAATCTTGAAAATGGACGGTGTAGATAATATGTTGTAAAATGCACTATTTCTAAGACTTAAAATCTTTTTATTTTTCATAGTCATACATTTCGATATCGAGATGATTAATCAAAGGGTTTTTTAACATTAAAACTACCTTTTCCAATGGATTTTTGATGGGCATCGGTAGTTCTACATTATAAGGTAGCATCCTTATATAAAAAATTTCCATATTTAAAACACATTTTTTTTGGTTGATGTCTTCAGTAGTCATACGGTTCGTACCTAATTCATATATTGATGTTTTGGGTGACCTATCAACCCTAAGATATCAACGGTGTTTGGCATGAAATTGTGCTTTGAATCACAATTATTGAAGGAGGATCACCATACAAATATTTAATGAGAAAAAATTCATGTATTTTTTTTCTATGTACTTAAGTAGGTGTGATGTTAAACTTATCCGATTTTTTTACTTTGATTTTTTGAGTCTAGTATGATATATTTGTGATATATTTAAATGAAGTATTTTTGTTGGTATGTATTTTTTACCTGATTTTTTCATTCAACTTTTTAAAATAAAAACAATTTGTTTTCGATTTTATGGTAAGCCGATTTATTGATAGTTCCCGACTTGCTAACTATGATTATAACCCACCCCACGTTGAAACACATTCTCTCTCTCTTCCTCTTTGCCACCATGGATGATGGGCTTTTGCCCATCAGTTGAATTATGTACTTGGCCAATCAGTCTTCGTTTTCTTAAAAGTTTGGGAGGCTAAATTATAGTAAGTAGGCAGATCTCCAAATGAGTTTTCTTACAGCATTGAAACCTTTCCCTTTTGGAACAAGTTTTCCATGCTTTCTCTACAACATAGAAGTTTTATCCTTCTCCTTATCTAACCGTTCATTCTGAATAGAAGGCTAAGATTACCCCAATCACAATGTCACGTCTCTACACTATTTTATTTTTAATTTTTTTTTTATGAACTATGTTGACATCAAATTTTGGACGTCTATTCCTCTATTAAACTCAAATTAGGGAAAAATAAAATAAAAATATTTTTAATAAATAAAATGACCAAAATACCCTTGAAAGATTCAAGGGGTATTTTTATCATTATATTTTATCAAAAAATTATTTTTAATATTTTTTATAGGTGCGGCCCAATGAGAAGATGACATGTACCAAATTTCATATTCACACAATTTGTATAAAAAAAAACTAAAAATAAAATACTTTGAGACATCGGATATAGGATCAAACGGTGAGTGGCTCTCTTTATCAAAATTAGACGGCTGAATGGGAATGAAAGAATAGAACTTCTATGTTGTAGAGGAAGTATATAAACCTTTCCCTTTTCTTAAAACAAAAGTTTATATAAGGTTGCAACCTTATGGGTAGAGCTACAGATGCACATAAAAAATCCATCGAAAAAGGTAGTTTTAATGTTGAAAAACCCTTTGATTGATCATCTCGACATTGAGATGTATGACCATGAAAAATAAAACGCTTTTAAGTCTCATAAATAGTGTATTTTACAACATAATATCTACACCGTCCATTTTCAGGATTTTCATATGTTTATAGATCTACTTGATTTTAACCATTTTTGAAATTTAAAATTTTATAATTAGATATAAAAATAGATTTTGAGATAATCTTAAAAATATTTCACATCAAAATTATAAACCATGATAAAATTTGAAGATGCACCTTACCTGTAGATGCATCCGTATGCTAACTTCATCCTTTTCTTAAAGAGAAACTTCATCCATTATTTTTGACCTTGTATTGGGGAAGAAGGATTGACCAGGATTTCTGCAGGGGGTAATGCATCGTCCTTGTCTTTGGGACCGCGCAGGAATTTAATGAGATGTTAGGGCTCCTCACTGTCCATCTTATTTGAAATTTAAATTCAAGCTGGATGGCGCCGGAATTTGATAACTTGTAGGGGACCTTAGTTGGAATCCGCATCTGGATAGCCGTTGCTTTCACACTTTCACGTGGTCAAACGGGCCAGTTTTGCCGGAACTTTAACGTTTTCGCCTGAAACTGACGGAAATATTTGTCTCCGGCATTATTATAATAATATAAAAATTATTAATACATATAGATATTGGATTATGCTTTTATGACAAAGACCAGTAGATGAAAGACTCATCGGTTTCTTCAAAGAGAAGGTCAGAAAATGCTCTCTCTTACCAAACCCTAATTGCTCCATTTCTTTACTTTCTTTTTGCATATCCGTTCTCAGGCCACCGGAAAATTTCAGACAAAATCTCACTAGAAAAATGGGTTTCTGGTTTTCCGGTGGCCTGAACTATCTTTTACTGCTGGTTTTGGCCATAACAGAGGTTTTTTTTATGGTTTTTCCGGCTACTGATATTTCCCTTCTCAGGAGATTAAAATGCCTGAAGCCAGAGATGCACGGCCCAGATTCGGAGCCAGAGGTTTCGCAGGTGGTCAGATGCCGGCACCAGAGATTTATGTGAGGAGAGATTCAACGGCTGAGATTTCAGTTGCAGAGAGAAGAAGGCAAGGAAATGGCCAGATTCAAGGGAGTAACAAGGAGAATATGCCACCTGCATATTCAAGGAGATCAAGAGAACGTCAAAGAACGAGTCCTTTGCCTGCTTGGTATCCACGCACACCTCTTCGAGACATTACGGCCATTGTAAGGGTAAGTTTTCGGACATTACTGCATTTTCCGCTGGTAGGAATTTTGCCCTTCGGCCAAGAGTCTGGCCAAGGGCTAAGGCTACAGCCATTCACTGTAGATTTCCCGGACAAGTCTTTATCTCAGGTAGGTGGAATCTTATATTCTGGACAAATCTCTGTTTCAGGTGGCAGGTATCTTGTTTACCGGCTACTTGTTTTATCATTACTGCACTGTAAATGCCAATTTTCTGGTGAAAATGTGTTTCAAGGTGGACGGAATCTTGGATTCCGGCCGATAGTTTTTATTCAGTATTTTTGTCTGGCTTTTATCGCTACTCGCACTTGCTCTGAGTTTCTAGGCCTTTGAATGGACGGTGTAGTTTCTATTTGGTCTGAAACTCTGAATCCACGGTTTAAATGTGAACACATGGTGGACTCTTGCAAGTGTCCAACAAGCATGCTTGTGGCTTGATCGTGTTTACTGGGAGTTGAAGAACGGGTAGAATCCTCGTCCACTGAATCGTGCGGTTCAGCTTTGTTGAAATGCATTCTCTGGTATTCTTAGCCGTCGATCTGATGCCTGGTTTGAAATGACCTAATTGGCCCATGCTTTTCATCCAAATTGTTTTGCAATTCCGTGAAATGTGCCTGAATTTTCTTTGTAGGAATTTATGTTATTTCTATTTATCTTTATCTTTTTCATTTTTTGACCATGTTGTTGTTATTCTTTTGGCGGAAACTTTCTGTAAATTTTGGCTGATTTCTCGTGTTATTTTTTTATCATCATTGTTGCTCACAAATTTATTGATGTAATATAATTCTTGGAAGATTTTTTTCCGACTTTGTTAAGGGTTTTCAGCTCCCTAGCACAAATTGCAGCCAAGATTGCTTGATTGAAAACGAAATCAGCCCAAATTTACTGAAAGTTTTGGCCAAAAATTTCGCCTGTTTGATGGAGATTTAGTGGCATTTTACATGAAATTTAAATTGGAATCGAGGGTCACGGTTAGTGTCTGTTAAAAGATTTAAAAGAAGCTGAAATTTTCCCAAAGGTCGATTAGAGATTTTACTGAAATTTCAATGGAAACATGGTTTTTATTAGCTACATTGTTGGGTTTGGAGATGTCACTGCCACTTAATCTTATTGCTGGTATTTAACATTTTTCCTGATTTTCCCTTGAATTATGATTGGATTATTTCAGGGCTCTTTTGTCTGAATTCTTAAATATTTCTCTTTAAGCACTATTCTTTGTTAGATGCTGAGCATTATTCCTGATTTCCCTTGAATTTGATTGATTATTTCAGATTCTTTTGTTTGAAACATCTGATTTTGATGGATGATTTCTCTTGAAATAATGACTGAATATATTCATATTTGTACTTTTGGCCAAATGAAATCGATTATATTACAGGCTCTCGAGAGGAAGAGGGCTCGCGAAAGGCTAGCCGCAACTGTTCGGCCGAGAGCGGAAGACACTATGCAACTGGATGACTCTGCATATCCTTCTAACACTGAGAGTGCTTCTCTCTCTATATCCCCACCCCAGAATGCGACTGGGGAAGATCAAGGAGATGCAACTGTCACTGTGACACCTCTGTCTATCTCTACACTCGAGAATCCAGCCTCGGTCAATCAAGGAGATGAAACAACACCTATTTCTCTCCCTACACCTTATAACCCTGACAATGCTGATCAAGGAGATGCACCCATCACCAATGTAAATGAAAGGGGAGCAGCTCTCACTGCAAATCCTTCTTTCCCTTTCTCTACGCCCGAGAACTTCGATCAGAGAGGACTTATCACTGCAAGTCCTTCTTCCTCAACCTCTACATCCCAGAACCCAGCCAATGTGGATGAAAGAGGAGCACCCAGCACTGTACAACCTTCTCTCTCTATCTCCGCACCCCAGGACCCACCCGTGATCAACGAGGGTGAAGCCCCCATGTCCATGACAGTGCTGGAAACTGACATCAGGGTGCCAGAAATTGAAGTGGGCTTGCCGGAAAATGTGACAAAGATGCCAGAAGAAGTCGATTATGTTTGTAGCAGAGCTCGTGGAGTTGTTGAGAAACCGAAGTTCAACAGCGTTGGTGGCTTGAATCAGGTGGGCAGACAGGGAGGAAAGAGCATGAAGCAGCAGCAGAGGAGCAAGGTGTTGCTCATGCGTTGAGAGTGAGTGAAACACTTTGTTTCAATCATCTTTTGATGATGAGTCCCTGTGAGAAGACACTCTTCAATCCCCAACGGTGAATACTTCATTTCCCCATTTCTCTCTCTCTCTCTCTCTCTTTGCACACTCAATTTAGGAATCCAAGATTCAGCAAGATTGGTGGCAGGAATCAGGTGGTTGGACAGGGAGCAAAGAACATGAAGCAGAGTAAGCTGATGCTTATGCGCTGAGAGTGTGTGAAACACCTTGTTTCAATCATCTTTTGATGATGAGTTCCTGTGAGAAGACACTCTTGTCTTCAATCTCCAATAGTAAAGTCCCCCTTTTTTTCTCTCTCTCTCTAACTCTTATCCCCCCCCTAACACACACCCTCTCTCTCTTGTTTTGCTTAAGATGTACAATTTAAGTAGGGTTCATTTTCTTTTGTTTTTGCTTCATTTCCTTTTGGACTGGCCATGTTCCCTGTACATTTGTAATATCAATCTTTTTTTTTTTCCGGGTACATGTAATATCAATCTTTCTGATGGGCAATTGAAACAAAGTCAGAAGAGGGAGATGGTTATGGTGTCTCCACCACGTTATGTGCCCACTGCGGTGGGTTGGATTGTTGAATTGTGATTCGGGTTGGTAATGGATCGATTCGGATTGGTCATCCAAAAAATATTTAAAAATAAATAAAATAAAATACAAATTAAAATAGAGGTTTATGGAATGTGGATTTAGAAAGGATCTAAAAAAAATTAAATAGGCTTTAAAGTAAAATTTATTGGAATGGGGGGACCCATACTATCCAAACCAATTCGGTTTCGACCAATTCCATCTAGATTGAAAATCATTGGGTTTTAAAATATTGATTTAGGCTGCTCATATATGGAGGTGATGGGTCTAGATTCTATAGATGATGAAATCACTTGCAATATCTAAGTCACAAAAAGCTTAGAATATTGAATTTAGTTTACATAAGGTTGCAACTTTAATGGGTGCGGTTTGTATAGAGCCTAGGCTTTAAACAATCAAATTAGAGCCTACCTTCAAATAGTGTCGAGAAATGTGGTTTCAATATCGGAAATCTTTGTAATAGCCTTAAAATATATTTTTATCTTTATTTATAAAGTTTAAAGCTTAAAAAATAGTGTCGATCAACAGATCTATGAAAACTTGAAAATTGACGGTCAAAAAATACTTTACAAAATACATTATTTTCAAAACTTGAAATCTTTTTTTTCCCTCATGTCCATGTATCTTGATATCGAGATTGTCAATTTGATGATATTTGGGCATCAAAACAACATCTTCTAGTGAAATTTTTGAGGTAGGCTCAAATTTGATTATTTAGAGCCTCGATTGTATATAAACTTTTCCCAACTTTAATTTGTAGAGTTAAGGTGCACTTCAAAAATTCATTGAGAAAAAGGCTTTTAATGTTGAAATGCACTCTAATTGATTATCTTGACATTGTAATGTATGTATATGAAAAAAAAAAAAGATTTCAAATCTTAAAAATAGTGCATATTACATTGCATTATCTCATGGGAAAGGTTTCTATGCTTTTCCTATAGTATAGAAGTTCTATCCTCCCCCTACCATCTGGCCGTCTAATATTGATCAAGACAGCCACTCACCATTTTGATCTTATATCCGATGTCTCAGAGTATTTTATTTTTAGTTTTTTTTATACAAATTGTATGAATATGAAATTTGGTATGTGTCATCTTCTCATTGGAGAACACCTATAAAAAATATTAAAAATAATTTTTCAATAAAATATAATGACCAAACTACCCCTTGAATATTTAAGGGGTATTTTTGTTATTTTATTTTATTGAATTTTTTTTATATATAAATTTCGCTGGTGTGAGTTTAATAGAGGAATGGATGTCCAAAATTTGGTGTCAAAATAGTTTATAGAAAAAAATTAAAAATAAAATACTGTAGAGACATGACATTGTGATTGGAGCAATCTTAACCCTCTATTTAGAATGGACGGTTGGAGGGGGATGATAGAACTTCTATGATGTAGGGGATGCATAGAAAGCTTGCCCTTATCTCAGCTGTCTATTTTCAAGTTTTTAATGTGTTTATAGATCTACTTTATTTTAATTATTTTTGGAGTTTAAAATTTTATAATTAAAAATTGAAATATATTCTTAGGCTATCCTAATGATTTTTTACACCAAAATTATATGTTCGGATAAAATTTGGAGATCCGTCTTACTTTGATTGTTTAAGGGTGCAAGCTTATGCAAACCACGCCCTAGAATATAACATCAGCCGCGATGTTAAGTTTTTGAAGGTCAAGGGATAGATATCTGATCAGGGTTGTAGAGGTGATTAGGTGTTTCATGGTGAAGTACTAAGTAGCAAGGTTCACCTAATGAAATATCAAATATGGATCCATCCCATGATAGTTTCAGGGAACCTGGGGCATGAACCAATCGATACAAATAAATGTCAATAATAACCAAATGACCTAGTCCAAAATTAGAAGTGTGGATAACATAAATGCAAGCACCAATGTGTGAAATGAGGCACAAAACTTGCAGATGTTCTTCATGGGAGGTGGGCTTCATGGTGACTCGTGCTGTTTTCCCTTCTTTTCAAAACTTTTGTAGTTCTAGAACATATAGCAACTTGAAGAAAATCAATAATTTTCCTACAAGTAATTATTTATTCTTTGCATGGGGAAAAAAATTGAGAACAAATGATATAAGAAGCATAAATGGGCAAGCCATGTAAAACGTCGAATCCCTGTACTTGATGGAGAAATTCACTGAGAATGTTTGAATTTTGTCGATTGGTCAGGATGGTGGGGTATCAAAACATGATGTCTTGAGTTTCATTCATAGGGGATTCCTTATCCCCCGATCTACACAAGGAAAAAAAAGTAAAGAAAAAATGGATTTTAATCCCATGATGATGATCATATTCCTCCAAGCTACACAAGTAAGCTGCATCCCTCTGATGCTAGCTAGCAATTCATTCTAGTGTGTCAAGAATTGAATTGGTAAAGCGGATAGTTCGCTTCATGTATCCGTATTGGATTGCTAGATTGGCAAACTAGAATATGTGATCCAAACGAATATTGAAAGAAAATAAATTAAAATTAAAATAGGGGTTCATCTGGGTTGGATTTAGAGGGAACCTAACGAGACATTAGATACCCTTAAAGAAAAATGGAAGAGAGCGTTTTAAGGGGAACCAAGCTAGAACCAATATGTTCCCAGAACTGGTTTGGTTCTGGCCAGATTCCTAGTTTGGATCATCAATTCCCAATCTGGATTGTTGGGTTTTAAAACACTGGTTCAACCAAATTGCATAAGAATTTTCTTATGCAATGAACTTGAAACTCATTTTATTATGTCATATGAACAAATCCCTCAATTCTTATGCAATGAACTTGAAACTCATTTTATTAGTTCATATGAACAAATCCCTCAATTATTCGGAGAGCATAGAAAGTCAATAATTGATTTATAGAGGGCACATATGTCCAAAAGAATGGAAAATACCAGTCTAGATTCAAAATAAAGCAGCGACAAAGAAGATTCAAAATAAGACAATATTTTCTGTAAATCTACAGCTGACCTTATTGAATTTATTGGAAGAAAAATCACAATAAGATAGAGGTCTGGTCCATAGGAAATCGTAGATTGGAAACCACTTGCATTTTAAAGAGGGATTAATTAAAGATAAATTTTCATTTTTTTACATTTAATTTTTTTCATTGATAAAGTTGGCAAAAGATATTTTCACTGACAACGACGCAAGCACGATATTTTGTCTCACTAAGAAATACATTCCTCTTTGCTCCACTGCCCTTTCAAATGGGATTGTCTGAAAACTGTTTAACCCCAACAGGATCCAATTTCTCAGCTGTTCAATCTAGATTGAACGGCTATGATTGTTTATACCTTAATTTCAAGTATAACATTGTTTTATTTTTTATTTTTTTATGAAATTTTGAGCATCCCATCATAAAAGTAGGGTGAACTCGAGAAAAATAAAAAATAAATATTTTATGTAAAAATAAATGATCAAAATGCCCCTGAAACCTTTAGGGGTATTTTGGTAAATTTTCATAACAAAAAATATTTTATTATTATTTTTATCATGTGCACCCTTATTTGATCTATGCATGCTCCAAATTTTGCTTCATACTGATTAATATAATAAAAATAAAAAATAAAAAACTTTGAACTATCCGATCAAGATTTAACGGTTAAAAGCCAATTTGTGACATGTGACTCAAGCCATCTTAGCTATCTACTTAGATCTAATGGTTGAGACTAGGGGTCACATATATTATATATATGTAGGTGGTGTCACATAGAAAGCCTTCTCTCTTTTGTTCATGAAGGTCCCAATCATTTTTGTCCTTTAAATTTTAAAATGGGTGGTTATAAGAGTGTCATGTAATGAAGGTCTTCATGATCGGCTTTGCTCATTGTAGCCGATATGGATGCATTCAGTATATTTCCATCAAGAAACGTGAGGGAATTGGGGTCAAGTCCAACTTCTCTTGGGCCGTATCAACTTATCATCACTACTTTACGATGGGACCGAAATACTACTTTACGATGGGACCAGAAGACAAGCTGATAATATACTCACCAACACAAAATAAGAACCATTGTGCATGTTGTGGAGTTCTATGTTAAAGAACACAAAATAAGAACCATTATACATGTTGTGGAGTTCTATGTTAAAGAACACAATATAAGAACCATTATACATGTTGTGGAGTTCTATGTTAAAGGACACAATATAAGAACCATTATACATGTTGTGGAGTTCTATGTTAAAGAGGCACAGATGCTTCTTTTAATCATTTGATTGTTCAAATGTAGCTTCATGAGTAAAATAAATGACCATTATCTCAATATTCACGAATGTTTGAGTATGTGGATAAAAGGAAATTCCAAAATTGAAGAAGTCAAAGAAGCATAGACCTGTGAGGTTCCCTTCGTCTCCCGTGATGAACTTCAACATTGTCTGAACTTCATTGTGCAATGATATTCAAGTGCTTGTAAAATGCTTAAAAAATCATTTGGCTAGATGATCTTTCTGGTATGGACACGGTTCTTATGAGTCCTAAGACTCTTATGTACATATGCTTCCCTCCATCGTGATCCATTTTTGAGATGGATTTTGGAGTCAAGTTTTCAGGTATTAATGACGTTCAACCTGGAAATATGTAAAAAAATAAAAGTTAAACTTAAATAATAATTTTTGAAGAAAATTTTAAACCTTTGGGATGTGATCTTTTTTTTTCCCGAAAGAGCATCACTCCACGTCCATCTCTAAGATGGATGTGAGATGCCTCAGGGGACGTAAATGTAGTTATGTGTTACCCGACGTATAAAGCATTTTTCTTTTATTATTATTGCCAACAATGTAATTTTACACATGTTCGTCTCCTTAGGCTTTTGACAGCGAGAAAGGCTTCGGTGTTGATAAGGAAAATATGTCTGAGACCATTTTTGAATCATGTAAAGGGGTTGGTTGCTCCCCTCCCCTGCAAGCCGCCTTTATCTCAAACTCATCCCCAAATCATTAAGTTACTGTGTTAATGCAAAATTGATACATCCACTGTCTTAAAACCATATGATTTTTTATCCGAATCGTTGAGTTGGATGGGAATTGATTGGAACCGAATGCAAACTGGTTCTAGAATGGTACACGTCTAGGACAGGTTCCCTTTAAAATCTGTGTTATTTTTTTCTTGTTTTTTTTAAGCTTTTTTATTGTTTTTTAGGTCTCTTCTAAATCCTTACTCTATAAACCCTAACTTTTATTTTTATTTTATTTTATTTACTTTATAATATTTTTTGAATCACATATTCGGAGTGACTAAGACCCAATCTAGATTTCCGACCTAACGATCTAACATAGATATTCGGGTGAATGATCCACACTATTGATCTCGAATCTCGATTTCAAAACACTAAATCCATCATCCTTTGAATAGCTCGGTTCTTTTTCAAATGGAGGTGCTCTATCTCTATCTAATTAAATATTGGAAGCATACGAGAAGTCTATGGCCCTAATTTCAAACCCATTTCTCTCTCCATTGTTTTTTCAAAAAGCTTAAGATAGAATACCTTAACTACAACTCTGGTTTGGAACAGTCTCTCTCTTTAAATTACAGAATTCTCTTTATATTCTCAAGAAAAGGGGAAGCCCCATCTATTTACCAGCGTTTTACCATTTTGTCATTGATTAAATGTATTGTATAACTTATAGTACGTTTGATTTGCGCGTAAATAGTTTTCGAGAAATATTTACCTATTTAAATCGTGTTTCAAATGCATATACAAGTAAAATACCATAGTAAAATATTTTACCATGAAATAATTTTCCCGGAAAAGATATACAATCTACTTAAATCCCTTGTCCCCGAGACCCCTCGTCTCCCTTTCTAAACCCCATCCCATAATAGCGATTAAACCAGCCTTCTCTCTCTCTCTCTCTCTCTCTCTCTCAGAAGCTCAAAAAGCTAAGCATTGTTCTCAGAAGCTCAACTCTCTCTCACAGGTATGTATATGCTATTGTGATCCATTTTTTATGCATTATAAGCCCTGATTTATATTTTTCTTATCCCTAATGTATGAAACTTTGAAGCCCTAATTTTCAGACCCCTAATGTATGCATTTATTTACTGCATTTTTCAACCCTAATTGTTGAATCCCCAATTTACTTCACTTTTTCATCTAAAATTTAGTTTATCCCAATTTTTCAGTCCAAAAATTCTCATCCCATCCCCAATTATTTTGATCCCTAATTTACAGTCGTATGTTATCTAGACCCATTTTGAATCCCTATATAGTTTTTCACTAATTAAGGAACTGCATTTTATATTATTTATAATTTCCCTGATCACATAAGTTCATAAAAATTGCTGATTCGGGGTTTATCTTTCTCTCTCTATAACTGGTGAAGATTTTACAATATCTTTCTGTCTCTATAACTTTTAGTGTTGGTTGTTTAGAAGTTTGCACGAAATATTGGAAAAACTCTCAGCTCCATTAGTTTTCATATCCAATCCTTTTCTCTTTGTTATTGAGAATTTGAGATAATATCAAAAGTTAGAAGACCACGTATTATGAAAGAATATTACTTGTATAAGTTTCTGGAAATTTGTAATTTGTGAGAATGTATTAATCACTCTTTAAATTGCATTTTTGTTAACTTACCGAGATATCACTTGTTCTTTCATCGAAAAAGAATCAGATTTTTTAATTATAAGAAAACATTTGTTTGAATTTCCAATTTAACATCTATGGGTCTATTGGTATTGGTGAAAAACTATCACCCTCAGTGTTGACTGAATGAAGTGAAAATAGTATATTGTTGTATTTTACAGGCTGTTGCTAACTTGTAGTCAAATATGGTCAAGGGGGCATGGCCAAATCTTTCCATCTTTAAGCTAGTCTTTGCTTAGGTGTGCTCTTATTGAGTAGGACTGTAGGAGACAGTAGTGGGACCAGTCCCTTGTCCACTTTAGGTGTGAAAGCTTTATGAAGGAGGTATTTAGGTTAAATTTTTTTTTTATTTTTTTTATTTTTTTCCGATGAGGAAAACTGGTCGTGGAAAGAAATTGTAAGAAAGATAAACTCCATGGCAATATCAAACTGTTCCCCAACCTACACCGAGCCCCTGCAGTATCTGTAATGAGAACCAAGCTCCTCTTCTCCTTTCTAGAACTTGGAAACTTTCATCTGAAATGGGATTACTGAAGTGGAAATTCTAGAACCTTGGAATGAGTCAGGGAGAGAGGCATGGAAGGAGGAGAGAGATCTCTAGAGTAATGAGTTGGTTGCAGACTTGTTTTTTTTGAAAGTTGGTTGGACACTTGTTTTGAAATTCGAACTATAGATGCATGAATGCTGGTTCATTTAGGTGTATTCTTTCTTTTTAACTTTGTTAGTGTTTAATGTATATTTTTTTATTGTATCTTGCTGTTTCATTTGTTTTATCCTGCATATCCATAAACCATTGTCAATATAATGGTGCCTCTTGCATGTCAAGCTCTTCTCTCCATGATTTGCTTGAAGCTTATTTTTTCAAGAGCAGCGAATATAACTCATTTTTCATTCCCTTGTCATCTTTTTCTTTGAAAGTTGTTCTCCATGTTGAGAAACTATGATGTTTTATGGAATTTTTGTTTTTCGTTCTACTATGTTATATGGAAACAAATGATGTGCTTCTCAAAGGGCAAGTTGATGGATTGATCTTATCCACTAGTGTTTGTATAATTATGTGTCAAGATTTCCATCGCAACTTGTATAGTACATAACTTTATTAGGATAACAAGAAGGGTTGTTACTGACGACGAGTTAAATGTTTGAGAGAAGAGCATTGCGAAATGCTCGTCGGAGGAAATACTCCAAATGCGGATGATGCTGATAGCCCTCTAGGATTGCGTGAGGCGATTGCTAATCGAATGTGGGAATGCTATGGAAATAGACACTAGGTTGTGGTAGTTTGTAGGTTATCTATCTTATGTTTTTGAAGGAATTGACACTTCATGGTTATGTAGTTGTAGTGGGTTTTCTTTTTTTCGTAACAATTTGTGATTGAAAAATTTGCAAATCTCTAGTCTCTCTACTGACTATCTATGTATTATTTGCTGAGGACTGTTCTCTCTAATCAATGCAGTCTTGGTACTGGGACGTGACATGTTATTGTGCGGTTTAATTATTTCAGTTATTGTAATGGATATTATTCTCGAATGCTAGCATTTATGATCTCATTCTCTTTTAAAAGCGAGAGAGAGATTAAAGTTGGGAATAATGAGGTAATTTGGGTCTTTTTGAGGCATAATATGACGAATTGCCCACTCGATTTAGAGGAATATAATGCGAGAGGGAAAAAGAGAAAGAGGGAGAGTAGAGTCGGGAGAAGAGAGCGATTTTTGAATAGTGGTGAATTTCAATCTTTTTCTCCACGTTTGAGAGAGTGTTTAGTAGAGAGGGAGCGAGAGATGATCAAATAGTAGTGAATTAAATCAAGTTCTATTCAAGGTTTTGTGTAAATATTTTCACACCAACTAAGTGCTACGAAACATGTGAAACTGTTTTCACAGTGGTTTTTAAATGTGCTACCAAACATGGTGAAAGGAATGCATATGCAAATATTTACACAGGTCAAGTATTTACATATGTAAATATTTCCCGGGGAATATTTACGTGTGAACCAAACGTACCCTTAGTGAAATGATGTTGAGCTTCTGTGTTTATATTCTCTGTTTTTTCTAGAACTATACTTTCTATGGAGAAGGGAATGATCCTTAACTCCTTATTAATTAGTGGCTTCCTTTTTTTTTTTGATAACTACTAGTGGCCTCCTTATTATGAAACCCTGAACTTTCTGTGGGGATTCTTAGCTTCCTGAGTAATCGCAAAATCTAAATTTACCTAGAGGAATCCTGTAGAGGAATTTTTAGAAATATGAAACTATTTATGACGGCTCTGTTCATTTTATGTTTTCCACGCTTCTCTACCATCAATTGTTAGATTTATGATGGCTTGGTGAAAGTGATAACCACCAATTTTATCACTCTAAACTGTAACATGTTAATTGGCTTTGGAAATGCATCCTTATACTATGTGGTCACATTGTTCTTGGGCCTATCTTTTTGTGTTGCTTTTTGATTCTTTTGATTTCTTCTTTGATTCTAAAATCTTCTTTGCAGATAGAATTTCCATTTTGAAAGACACCTTCCTAAGCAACTGGGATTGTCCAAACTCCAAACCTGTTTTCCTTTGAAGGCCTAAAGAAACAAAGATGCAGGTACGCTGAAATCAAACTTTGTATTTTCCTTGGTGCTTGACTCAATACCAAAAGTGTGGTGCATTTTTTCAATATCATGAGTATTCACACTGCTGTTTTCCTGACAGGCCAGCGACAGGTTTAATATCAACTCGCAGCTCGAGCATCTCCAAGCAAAATATGTTGGCACTGGCCATGCTGATTTGAACAGATTGTAAGTTCTAAAAACCAATTCACCTCTTCATTTTTATTGTTAAAACAAAAAGAATTTATCCTCTTTCTTTTTCTATCTTGTAGAGAATCAAGAGATTATGGTTTTTTGGATGATCTCTCTCTCATCTCAGTTCTTTTGGTTTTTTAGTGAGTGGGCAGTGAACATTCAACGCGATAGCTATGCATCATATGTTGGCCATTATCCCATGTTGGCATATTTTGCTATTGCAGAAAATGAATCGATTGGGAGAGAGCGTTACAACTTTATGCAGGTATGCTTAAATTCACTATCCCTTTTGAAGTAGTACATTGGCCCTTTGTTTCATTGTTCTCGTCTGTTGATGCATCCATCTTGTTTTTAACAATCTATTCTGCATAATATTAAAATTTTAACTAAAGCACCTTTTGTTAGGTTTCATTCTTTGCAAAGTGATGGAGCATCTAAGTGCATTGTGGTCGGGCCTTTTCACCCTCAGATCAGATAATATCATAAATGAGCTTTGTCAATAGCTCTAAGATAACACATGTTTTGCTCATTCTTAGGAACATGAACTGTTCAAGTCTCTCTATATAACTAGTGTGGCTTGATGATATAGCAGTCGATTCTCATTTTTGTGTCTCTTGCATGAACTGACTGGTGCAGTCTTATTTATTTCAAATCAGTAGCCTGTTCACAGAGAGTTGTGGCATTTGGGTTATAGGACTGATTGGACTATAAGTGGGTGGAAGGCTTTAGGTGTTTTTCTTCGTTATCCTTTAAGGTTTGTTGGAATGTTTTTCTAGTGAATCATGTTAGAAGGTGCACTACATTGGAGGTATGAGGTCAAGAGTTGGTGTGTGTATTCTCTTTATTTTTTTTTTTGATTTGTTTTATTTGTGATAAAGTATGAGAGCATGGAAATGGTTTTTGTATTGGACTGGCTAGGGAAGACATAAAGGGGCAAGGCATGATAAGGCAGAAAATACTAACTTGAGATGGCTGTTTTCTTTATAGATTGATAGTGGAAAGCGGTGAAAAAGCTTATTAGGCAAGCAGGGGCATAACGTGTTAATTGCCTTTCTGGATGGCTAAATTGCTCCCTCTGTGGCACTTTCATTGTTGAAACAATTATACCTGACTATATCATTGCAACTGTTTCCACTTTTCACTATTGTTTGTTCAGCATATTGAACAAATTGATACCATTTCCATTTTCAACCGTCTTCCTGGCATGCAGCTGCTTGCTTGTAAAGATGGCAATTGCCTAGAAGTGATCAATCAGCCATTTGCAATTAGTACAGTTGTCTCTGCCTTTTGTGTTAGTAATAGCTTGTTTGGCTGTTGCAACTATGAAAGCATCATCTTCTCCAAGTTTCACGGTCCTTTTTCAGTGGCCACATTATATATAGGAGAGAAATGCCTAGTCGTCAAGAGGGATTCATTATCTTGTCAAGTTTTGTCTAGTTGTATTATAATAATGGATGAACATCTTGGTTTTTTCTGAAGGAAGTTTTTTAGTTTTCATGTAAGCACAGATACTTATCTAAAAGAAATGAGGATAGGGTTACATTTATAAATATCCTCAGGCGACATAAAATTTGAACATCCCATACAATTCATATCAGCTTTAAACTTAGCTAACCTGTCAGCCATCCCATTGCCTCCGAAGATATGTGCTACATCAACTATAAAGTGTTAGTCAGAAGGTATTGAGTTTTAATGTAGACCCCGCCTAATTTCTTTGACAGACACTTCTCAGCCATTTGATGGACGGTTAATGAGTTTCCTTCATTGGTATGTGGTCCCACATAATATCTGTTTGGATTGCCTTCTAGGGCTATTTTGATTCAAGCCATATAGTATCTGTATGTCCCAACAGGTTTGCTTGACATTCTAGATGGTTTGATCAAGTTTTATAATCATACTACGGAAGCCTGCTGGACCCGGCTTTCCTTTGGTAGCATATGCATATTAACATCATGCAATTTGTGGTGGGGAATGATTTAACTGACGTGAGGATGGATGGTGTTGGATCGGGGATCTCTGTGTGTCTGATGTCATACCATGTTTAAGAAGGATCGTGTTAAGGAGGAGCTTTCTGGGAAGGGCTTGTGGGGCGAGCTTCCTTCTTTTTCTGTTTGCTTTGATGGGTAACAAATATTTTTGTTCACTGTAAGTCTTGCATGACATATACATGAGGTGCCCTTGACCATAATATTAGCTTATATATATTAGGCCAAGCACTGAGCTATGACATGGGGTTTCTAATGGTGCACTCTTATTTGATGATCTTTAGCTATTATATCTAAGCCCATGTTTGACCTCTCAGAGGACATTTATACATGATTGAATCCAGTGCATTTGCAATGAGCCTCATTGTGCACCAAACCGACGACATTGTGTTATTGCCTTCCACATGATAGGGGCCCAAAAAGTGCTTGTAGAAATTCTCAAGATTATGCAAACCAAGATTATGAGATGCAAGAGGAGGCTTACTCTGTGCAAAAGCCAGTTTTTATATCCATCACTTTTCTTAACTCCACCCCTTTTGGCATTCAACGCTTGTGCTGATTCTAAGGGCCCCACAAAATCCAATCCCCCACCTTCCCCACCCTTATGTTAAGTACCAACGACCCACGAAGGTTTCCTTACTAGGCCCATTCCCTCCCAAAACTCTCTATTGCTCCGATCAATGGACCCGTACACCACAGATGTAGCTTATTTAGAAACTTAAGGTTTTATTCTCTATTTAACGGAGAACAGAATGTTTCTGCATAATCTCCCATTCTTTAACCAGCTCCAACTCAGCCCTCACCAAGATAATACTGGTTTCTGATCTCCTGCCACAGAGTTTTTCCAACTCACACTATCTTCTTCCTAAAACTACCTCAACATTATGAGCATCCACTGAATCCAGCTTTAGATTTTTTGTAGTACGAATTCATCGAACCAATCTTCTTTGGCAGTCCTTTACTATCAACCTTTCAAGTACCCTCTTACATTCTACATTAAGATTTTCACTGATATGAGCTGTCATCCAGCCCTCTCCCTATTTTCTTCCTTACCTCTTTCTTCGGTTCTGCCTCAAATTTATCATGGTTGATCTAGAATACAAGGTTATCCATTTTTTTAATACTCTATCCCCTCCCCTTTCTAGCCATGTTGTCTCTTTCACCCCCATGTTTCATTCTCTAGGGTTAACCCATCAAAGGATATCCTTTTTTGTTTTTTTTGAATCTGTTGATGTTTGTATAAAAGAAAAGTATACAAGGTGCAAAAAATTGGCAAATCACAGGCTGGGTGCTGTATATACAAAAACCCACTCGGTTTGGCAAACAAAGGGAATGTGTGTTTCGAAAGATTTATACATCCAAAGTCAGTACATCACAAAAGAAAAAGATATCCCAAGCGGCTTTATCTCTGTTTCCATCTTATCCTTGACCGTTCTAATGGTCTCTTCATATTCCGCTCTATCCTTGTAGTAGCACTTATTCCTATTCGTTTGATTAAGTTTGCCTAGGAGAACCTACCATTACTACTAGCTATTCCAAAGGTTCCCTACCCCTCCAGTGATCTTCTACTGTCCAGGGTTTCACATAATACATAATATTTCAACCCGGTTAACTTCTTTCTCCAGCCATGCACCTCAATCCTAGAGACTGCGTTAGCTGGTATTGTCATTGATGGATGGCTAGCAGGTTCTGATCCAATCATTAATATTTTATTCATTTGGACTCCCTTCTAATTGTTCGACTGTTCCCTCCTCTGAATATGTGCTTTATTGTGGTTTGGTTGCAGCACATGGTATAGAACTTGAATCCCACTCTCACCTAGGCCAGCCAAAAGGATGATCTGTATCTTGCTCTTGCCATTATTTCAATTTTAACCCTCCTTTAGATGTAATGATCTCTGTGTCCCCATTAAACAAGGCATTCGAGGTAGGCCTTGCATATTATGATTGAAAGATGCCACTCCCTTGACAAATATATATGCAAGGTTATGTTAAGGTGGTCACACTATAGAGCATTTTATAATTGTACTCAACAAATTTTGGACACTTATATACCTTTGTTTTGTATACGGAGCATTTTTTTAGTAAGGGTATTTTTGATCGTTAGGAAGCGTGTGACATCTTCCACATGGGGTATGACATCACTTATATGGAGCACACTAGTGGCATTTAATACTTCAAGAGGGTGATGTCACGCCCCATGTGGATGATGCCACATCTCTCCTAATGACAAAAAATGGCCTTATTAAAAAATTATTGTATTACAAAATAAAGATATATAAGTGTCCAAAATTTGTTGAGTACAATTATAAAAAGAAAATGGTTTGATAGGATTGCAGTCCTATCAAAATAAGTAAAGCCTCACCTCATAACTCATTGAATATTGCAATTCAAGCATCGAAAAACCTTTACATCAAATCATATCGGCTTGAACATTATAGTTGTGAAAACAAATTAGGATTTCAAGCTGTAAAAATAGTGTAATATTGTAACAAATTATCTAGATCATCCATTTCGCCCTAAAAATAAGTGTTCCATGATCCGCAACATCTGTATCATTTTTTGAGTTTCAAATTCTATTTTCGGTGTTGAAAATTGATTTTAGAGCCATCATGGAGATTTCCATTGCCGAAAGTGTTTTCCAAATGAGGATTTGACTTGAGGCTTTATTTTGTTTTCAAAAAGCTTAGGCCTTATAGAAACTTCATATATATATATATATATATATAGCCAATGCTCCAAATTCAATATGGGCCTCTGATGGTCACGACTTTATTTCGTATTTTCATTTTCATTTTTTTTTTTTACAAATCCAAATCGCTTAATATTTTAGGTGTTCTTCTCATCAAGGCGCACCTAATAAAAATATTACAAAAATAATCCGTAAAATATAAATTGACCAAAATACCCCTACAAAGTTTCTGAGGTATTTTGGTCAATTTATTTTTTATAATTTTTTTTTTTTGATATTTTTATTAGATTCTCCAATTTTTAAATAATACACGCTTAAATTTTCAAGTGATTTGGATTTGTAGAAAAAAAATTAAAATTAAAATACGAAACGAGATCGTGATCGTCAAATCGGCCCAAATTCAATCTCGGCCGTTGGGCGTAAATAGTTATCTAAGCAGCATGGCTAACTCTATCATTTTCCATATATATATATATATATATATATACCCTACTTAAGCAATTGATTGAGAAGTTTAGGGAGAAGGGAAAAAGACCTCCACATAGTCTTTATTGATCTGGAAAGAGCTTATGGTAGACTACCTCGAGAT